GGACTGAGAATGACTTTTCACTCAAAAACCCTGTTCACTCAAATATGATAACTTGATAATCATTCGGCATATAATCGTTATATTTGGTGGCAAGGTTGATTCAGGCTTGTTTTGAGCATGCTCAAAATGCGCGCCGTTGGTCGGCGTTCTATGCGATGCTACTACGATGCTGTGGCGATGTTTGCAATCTAACTGCGCTAATCAGGGCTTCCTGAATTTTCCTTTGACGCCGTTAGAACGCCGCCCTAGTGTGATAGGGTATGTATGTATGTAGTTAATGCTTAATGAGAGTCCATTCCCCCGTAAGGGCACAAAAAGCTGCTTTCGCTGTCGAGTACGGACCCCGGACCTGTCACCAGTCATGCCCTTAAAGAGTTAATTTTGAAGCACAAAATGGTGATAATTTACCTCCATGCAATTTCCGTGGATTATTAGCAAAAGATATGAATTTTGAGCCGAAAGAAGGTCACTGTACGGCGGTCAATGAGAACCTAAATGTACAGTAACCTGTCACAATATGAAAGGTTAGCCCTGAAAAGATTTGTTGGTGCCAGCAAAAGGCCTGCCTTACAAGCCGTCTATCTGTCCTAGGGGCTCACGCAACCTAGCACACCATCCTCGTCGTCTCAGCCTACATTTTAGGGCCACTCCCCTCGGCATTAGTCAGGACACCAGCATCTGGTCTGCAGTTGTTGACGAAGTAGTAGTCCCGTTGTTACAGTCTACGTGTGGCATCTGTTAGGTTAAGTTTACTACCAGCCAAGCTGTTAATCTTCTGCCGATGTCCTGTGCCTTCTCAGCGACGTGTACGCTCCGAGGGAAAGTGAGAAGTAGTGGAACAGGGGTTTAACCAATATCTTGATATTCTGTTTAGAAAGGCTATTCAAATATGTTTGTATTTCATGTGTTTTATATATATCTATAGCGTGTTTTCCTCCCTCGACCCCGCCATTTTATTTCTTAATTCTCACTCCGCATCCCCGCGGGGCGAATTTTATTTATTAAACCTATGACCGCGCCCTCGCTAATAAGCAAGTTTTCGCTTCGCGCCCCGCCATTTTAACTTCTTTATTTTCGACTTTTTGCTTGGCGGTTTCGCGGGACGAAAACACGCTTAATAGCGGGGCACGCGACGAAATTTTATTTATTAACTTCGCACCGCATCCCCGATAATAAGCGTGTTTTCGTCCCGCGATCCCGCCGTTCTTTTTCTTAAATCTCGCTCCGCGCCCCCGCCGGACGAAGTTTTATTTATTAAACTCCGCCCTGCACCCTCGCTAAGAAGCGAGTTTACTATCCGCGCCCCCGCCATTTTAACTTGTTAAGATCGGCGGGGTAGCGAAGCGAAAACACGGTTGGAACAAATCAGCCACCATAATGTATACATGTTTAGACGATACTTAATTACTTAATAAATAAATCGCACGGCAAATATGGAAAGCAGTTGGGCTTGAAACTTCCTGTTTGTTGACGATATCTTTGTCATTTATATGGCAATTATCATAGTTGAAATCTTTAAAGTGACTTATCGCATGGCTTGAAACTTTTCTTTTGTTCTTACTTAATACACTTCAATGTGCATTGATATAATTATAGCAGTACACTTTTTTCATTGATTCATGTAGGAAAAAAACTTGACAAAAAAGTTGAGTTTTTTTCGCACCTTGTATATATCAATGCAGTAGCAAAAAAATAAAATAAAAAAAAAATAAAAAATAAAATAAAAACATGGAATCAATGAAATAAAATAAATATAAAAATACAATGAAAAACATTAACAGACATAATTAATGAAATGAAATTTTCTCTCATTTAATCAAAAGATACATCCGCTGAATGAATTATTTCCACTGAATAAAGCCCTTTAATCTTGAATCAATCTTGGTAACAGTACAATCCGCCTCTAACATTGGATGTTATATGTATATTTTTTTGTGGCAGCGAAAATAACTAGAAAAAAACTGCCTTATCATAAAAAACGTACCTAACGATTTATTTATTTATTTATTTATTTATTTATTTATTTATTTATTTATTTATTTATTTATTTATTTATTTATTTATTTATTTATTTATTTATTTATTTATTTATTTATTTATTTGTTTGTTTGTTTGTTTGTTTGTTTCTATTAAAAAAGAAAACATTATGTTATTGCGATAAAACAGTTATAGTATATGAAACTCGTTAGTTGCGGGAGTATTACACTGCCTGGAGCGACATCTCGGGATGTGTCTGAATAAAAATTGTCTCTGCCTATCGGCCTCGCAATTTTTTTTAGCAGACACACCCCTTGATATCGCCCCAGCCAGTGTCATGTCATCGTAACAAACTCGTTTCATGTAATAAAACTATTACATAAAGCTCATATTTCAAAAGTCAAGGTCAGCTGAAATGACTTATATTTCAAATGATTGACAGCTAAAATGTTGTTTGACCAGTTGATATTTGAAAACGTTCAGGATAAAATTATAAATATCCCTAAGATATAAAAACACTGCCTCTCTGTTTTTTATGAACTGAGCGTTATATGTAAATTCTAATAGATATTTACAGAAATTTTATTTGGACCTGTGTATTATATATTGTTTATGGGAAGTAAACAATTAAATTAAAAGGAATTATGGCAAAATTTACACTTATTTTGGTATTCACCTGTTCACTCACTATGTACCCTTCTTTTCCATAACAAACAATATCAGTTGATGCAATTTGATTGTGTTGTTTGTCACTTAGAAAAATTATACACGGTTGTTTCTATTTTTTTCTTCAAATACTATAAATAACGACTATCAACACGTTTAAGTTTATTTTTTACGCTACTTTTTTCATATTTTATTGTTTGATTTATGTCCCAGTTTTTTTAAAGCTCTCGACCATTTAACTGAAATTCGATTTGTATCCTGCAACTATATATCCATTTATGTTACCAGGTGTGTAAAGCCTTGTCGGATAAACTTATCTTATCTATCTCCAGTCATTACGTCACATGGTTAACCTATGAAGATGTCACATACTTAGCAGCAAAACAAAAGTACTAAAAGATGCTGAATACGCAGTTACTGTCGGGATTGAGAAGGTTTAATCTGGCTTGCTAAAGCTCGCCAAGATATACTTTCTCGTACAGGCTTAAACAGTATCCAAAATTTAACATGAAATGATAAATTTCGAATTTTGAAACATTCACAGCTGTGTAAATACGGCGGTTTCTTGGAACTTTCAGTGTGAAACAAGCAGAGCAAAATTGTCGTGCTGAATGATCTTTAAAGATCGGAAATAAAACATACAAATCGTACACAACGAAAAAATTGAAATTTCTGCAGGCTCTGATACAGTAGGCCTCTTCATGGATGGTAGGCTAAATGTAAAGGGCAAGTTACATGTCCACGACCCTAAGCATCAAAAACCAATTACTATATCAAGTATGTAAATTCAGTTAGTTAAAAGATTCATTTGTGATTTCTGTAACAAAAAATGATTGTGTCGATGGTGAAGAGGTCATTTCATGAAAACTGTGCATTGCACTAGAATAAATGTGTACGGTTGTCTCTATCTATGGATAAGTTGCCTGTATGGTAGTAGATTTAGATAAACCTTTCATGTGGATGAGTTGTATATATGATTTAATTTTTTATCATTTATGTAATATATTGTGTTTATGTTATTTGAATTCAATGCTGATCAAATATCCGATCAAACAATTGTGCAAGTTAAACATTTTAACGGCACAAAAACGATTTGAAAGAGGGACGAGAAACAAATAATTGTAGTCGAATATTGTCTTGTCTTCGGTTACCTGATTCGTAACTTGGCTATAAAATTACACAAACTGACTTCAATCAATATTTTACTGTCTAGCTTGGGAACAGTGCAGTTATGGCAAATACCGTAGGATATATAGGCATTTGGTTATCTGGAGTGGCCCTTATTTTTGCCGTTATTGCTTTGGCGTCCGACAACTGGGAAACTTTAAAGTCAGGCACTATTGAAACTAAAATAGGATTGTGGAAAATATGCACCAAAGGCTTGGGAAGAGAATACTGTGATGATTTTGAATATGATGCTACAGGTACGAGCAAATGATTTGTTCTTTTTATATGATCTAAAGTGAATTGTTTCTTAATGGAAGACCTGTTTCGCCATATATAATTATCATGTTGAAAAAATTTATTTGCTAAACACAAAAAAAGAAAAGAGAAATCATTTTACATGCACTCATTGTAGACCAATCAACTTTAAGATGTTTTAAAATACTATTGCACTTAATAAATTAATTTGCACAAATTTGTAAAAAAACAAAAATCCTACCTACCTACCTACCTACCTACCTACCTACCCAACCTTAATTTTAAAGGGAAGGGAAAACAAACATATTTCTATTTCTGGTCTTACAACTCCTCGGATGATCAACCATAACATTATGGAAACAATATAAGTTATAGCTGTATACCTTTTAAAACTTTGCATGATCTTAGACTATGATACAAGAAACATTTTTAACATGTAAAACGCGGGATCTACGGTTTAGTTCGTTGAGCTATCACCCTTGATTTACAGTTCTTTTATTTTAGGACATTAAATGGGCAAATCATTTGTCTTAGTCTAAAACAATCTAAGTTTGTCTTTGTTTGATTTTATTTTTTGTAATAATATAATAATATAATGTAATTTTTTATGATATTCCATTACTTTCTTCTTTAAATAAAGTTTTTAAATACATAATATTCTAAAGAAAAATTACTCAGGTTAAGTTTGTTTTTAAAAGGAAAGTTTAAGTTATCACGTTGACTATGGGCTATAACATTATGACTATTCAGTATTGAGATGAACATCGAGTTATGACAGTGACTAGTTTGAAGTTGTTGAACATTTAATCAGATTATATGTACATTCTTCAAAGGATGAAGGCCATATAAGATGAAATATCTAACAGTGACTAAAATGTAACTGGGAAAAAATAAAAATATACTTTATACACCTAGCAGTCGTTCGTGGTGATGCGTTCTGCCCATTTTCGGAACGTGTTAAACGTTTAACCCAAGTCTCAAGAAAATTCTTTAAAGAGTATATGAGAAATGGCGAAGACATAAAAATGAATGTTTAGTTATTTGCTCTTCAAATGAGACATTGATCTCAATCAGTCATAACTTTACATTTCAACATAGTGAACATAGTTTAATATAAATTCTTATAGGGCATTTTTCAAATTGTTTGAATTGTTAATTACAGTCACGTGCCAGGTATTAATTTTTGCGATAGCATGCAGGGCAATGATAGTTCTGGCTATTTTGATGACAACAGGAGCTATCGTGAGTGCAGTGCTTGTGTTGTTTGTTATAAAGGAGCAACAGATCTTGCTCTTTGTAGCTGGAGGCCTGAATCTCTTGTCTGGTGAGCATTTAAATAATATTCTATTTTAAGCTACTTGTAGATACAGATACAGAAAAGATATAGATACAGAAAAGGTTAAAACACATCGGGTATTTAAAATAGGTTCAAGACGTAATATACCCCAATCATAATGCGTCATAAAATATCAAGCGGCAGGACGTTAAGTGGTTGCACACTTGGTTCAAGTTAGAAATTGGCTGCAAAATTGACAAAATGGCTACCGAGACATTAATATTTACAACACCCGCTCGAATTTTCTTGAGGTAAGTCGGTTTGTATGCTATTTTAAAAAAAATTAATATGCCCATAACTTTTGGAAATGCTTATGGCACACCTGGTGTAAGATCTCGGCTTCCAAGCTTCTGATTTGACGAAGTTATTGAAAATTACATCAAAAAATTACATTCAATGACATCAGTAAGTTCACTACATCAAGAGAAAATATAAAATTTGCATGTTCCAAATAAAATTTTAATTCAATACACAAACATATCTTGCTTCTTTGAACCAGTTCCTCTGGGCTTTGCAACATTTGAAAATAGCGCATTTGATATTCAGGAAATATTAACCAATTCTTTGTCATGCCCGACATGACACAAATATAAGGTAATGTTGCTATAGTACGAATTAAGAACGGATGACATTGCCGGGTTCATTGCTTGTTTTGTTTTTGTTTTGTTTTTTGGGGGGAGGGGGTATCATCATCATCATCTCTTTTTTTCCAAGAAAAAACTTCAGATCTCCTTTTCTTAAATATTGCCCAACGTAACTTTAAATATTCAAATAAAATGAATTAGGTGATACAGAATGTACTTTCCTAACATTTCATGGCATTTTCTTTAAATTCCAACTAAAATCTAAATATTTTAAATACTTTCATTTGCGATAAAGATTTAAATAGTATGGCACTAAATACAACAAGAACAACATGTAAGAAATAGTTTTTATCATAAAATAGTTGTGTCCATGCAATGATTAGCAATACTATTGAGGTATAAGCTCGACACAAAAAAACAATAAGAATAAGTTTGCAACCAATAATGATTCAACCAAAATGCGCTTCAAAAATATGTGTTTGTGTATTGAACTTGATTAAAAAATTACACGGAATTGAGAGTAATATATTTTGTATTCTTTGGACAACATAAAAACTTGAAATTCGACCAGAATTGTCGCTTGTCTAATCGAACAATGTGCACGTAAGTTTGTTTTGTTTGTTTTTTTCAGTAGGAAGATGAAACATATAACTAAGTATAAATGTTGCCTTAAGGAAAGGGCATGTTAAAGAATTTTAAAATAACATACAAAACACTTACCCTTAGAAAATACGTGCCGTTGTTGTAAATATTCATGACAGGATAGCCATTTATCAAGTTTGCAAGTTTTCGCGCTAGAACCAAGTGTGAACCAAGTGTGCAACAACTTCATGTCCTGCCCCTTGAAATACATATACAAAGTTCAAAAAGGGAATGCATTGTTCATGAGGCGTAGTCCCAATAATGTCCAGCCAAACAAAGACCTCTGGACAGAAACCGATTGTAGACGAAAACAGCACAAGGGCGCAGAAGAGGGCATGAAAAACAAACAACGATACTATACCACTCACGAACCATGAATGGTAAACAATTAGAGGGACATTCAATGATTAATATGGGCAGGAAAGGGGAGGAATGATTGAAGGGAAAGGAAAGTGGATCCAAATTTCTTCCTCTTCTACTCAATTCGAGCAAAACACGAACATTTAAACAATGATCTATTGTTAAATTCGTTACCACTTATTACGAATATATGAGCCGCCATATTGGTATCTTCTCAAATAATGACGTCCGGGTGAAAAATACCCTCTCACGTGACACAAATGTACTGGTTTTCAAAATTGTTATGATTTACGACTATATAATAACTTTTCCTTTTCTTTCAGGAATTTTCTTGATGATTGCTATGGCAATGTATGTTCATGAAATAAAAACTGACGATTCAGATGGAGTTTCTTCAGATCTTGGTTACGGATTTGCCCTAGATATACTTGCGTGGCTGGCGGCATGGGCAGCTGGTGGACTTTTCATCGCTGCTAAGTTTTTGACCAAGGACTAAACATAAGAAACAAAATTGACAATTGCTAGAGTAATAAATGTATAAAATATATTGAATACCCTGTACTGTAACGTATTTCTTATGGTTTTATATGATAAATCTGATGCTCAAATGAAAGATTCGTCATTGTTGTAAGTTTTAACAATTACCAAATTTGACATTTGATATAAATAAAGGGAGGTACATGTAATTAGAAATTTATTTTCGAAAAAGTCTAAGCCAGTTTGTTTTTGTTGTTTTTTTGTTGTTGTTGTTTCCAATATAAATGGATGCATTGTTTGTAACGTTTAATTGTAATGTGTTTAAACGTTTGCGGTACATATTCAACATATTCTTTGATGTTTGGAAATTGCTTTAGAAAATTAAGTACAATGTATATACATTTATAAAACTTTTCTCAACAATATGTTACATCTTTTTCTCAGGTTACTGTACATTTAGGTTCTCATTGACCGCCGTACAGTGACCTATTTTTAGCTCCAATTTCATATCTTTTAATTTGCTTATACACCGTGGAAATTGCATGGATGTAAATTATCAATTACAATTCTAGAATATTTATGACCATTGTTTGAATACTAAGTGTATCAAAAACAATACCGCAAAAATAGATAATAAATGCCTTCAAATTAGTTGTAGTTTGTTCTATATTATGACTTGTTCTATATCTTAAAAAAAGTGTTGTTTTTTTATTTTGTAAGCTGTATAGAAATAAAAAGAAATGTAAACAGATCTTATTCATCTTCAATGGTATAGTTTGATGTTTAAATAATTTTTCATCGGATGATGTGCAAGTCTTTGCATTTTGCTGACTGTGATAAATATTTAACCTGAATTAATTTTGAATTTATTTCTATAACGTCTTCGGGAGAACCGAGAAAAATTCAATGAAAGTACCGGGACAAAATATTACTTTGCCTTTTTTAAGAAGGGTTTTATCCGTTTAGCATGCGCCACTCGCTTTACGACAATTATTACCATACTTTTTTAAGTTCCAAACAATAATTTTTGTATTAGATATAAAATAGCTTTATACACTTTAAAGTCCTTCATATAACATAATATTTATAAACCTTTTACCCCATTAACATATTGTGAAAATTCTTGACCTAAAAACGGTATTATAAATACAGACAATAAATAACAATGACTGGACTGGAGACAAATGTGCTTCGAGTGTCCTTTCTATTGTGTGTCGAACACACCGTCTCTTTTCCAATTTTTCGAAAATATGAATGTTTACGAGCACATCGGTCACACGTCGTGAGACAAATGTGCTCCTACAAAGTACGATGGCATGATGGTATGATGATGAATACGCGATGGTCCAATGGTAAAAAAAAAAACGATAGTGAAACAACTATTTACGATGGTGAAACAACGATGGAACGATGGTGAAACAACGAATGCACGATGATGAAACAACGATGGTACGATGGTGAAAATACGATGGTACAATGATGAAACTGCAATGACATGATGATGAAAACGCGATATTATTTTCACTATCGTGCCATCGTTGTTTCAACATCATGCCATCATGTTTTCATCTTCGTACCATCGTACTATCGCGCGTTTACTGTTATACGATCGTGCATAGGGGTTCAGAGAGACAAAAAGGTTACCTAAGCTATGCCCAAACGGATCACCGTAATTGGGCGATATTTAAAAGATACAATATCTCGACTTGTTGCTCATCTCGCTGGAATCTCGCGTCTCGCTATGCATCTCGTACCTCGTCTACGAGGCTATATACCCTTGAATATTATTCTCTTTATATGCTAAAAGTATGTAAAACAGATATTTCCAAAGATTCGTTTTAGAGAACAAATCCTTATCTCAATTTAAAGAGTTATGATACAACTGAGAAAATTTCTAGCGTCACATATGTTACTGCAAAATCACTTGAAAAGCACACTACTGTGACTTGGAAGAACCAGCAATACTAAAATCGAAATTCATTTAATCAAATACAACATTGAATTGCTCGCGTTTTTTGCTACTAAAATGTCTCGTCCAATTTTGCAAGGCCCGATATTCTATAATTATGGCAATACCCGGATTGTTTTATTTAAAGAACTCATGTACGAATCTGAAAGCAGCAATTTTCGGTAAACGGCAATATTATTCATATAAATTTCTGATGAAAACAAAATACGTGTGGGATGGTCTCCTCTTTTTTAGGGGCCTCTTTGGCCGAGTGATTTAAAAAAAAAAAACACTTGCCCATAACCGCTGTAGGTTCTACACACACTCGGAGCGTCGAACTTTTCATGCGGGGAATCTTGTCTAAAGTCCAAATGCGGAATACACATCCGCGTGCGCACGTTAAAGTTATAGCGTGCGCAGTAATAACTATCCCTTTAGAACGTAATAGTTATTGTGTCCGCACGCAAGAGTATCGCAAGGCCACGTTATAACAATCGCGTACGCACGTAATAAATAAGAATATAAAACGTCCCCTTAATGCAAACGTAGATACTACCTTGTTGTTGCTTAGAATATTTCTTAAATCATTTATAAAACTTTAAGCGTTGGAAACAAACGTGTCGCATTTGATATCGATAAGAATGGATTCGCTGCATATGTGTTTGGGTTCTAGATACTGCACCTGTAGAAATATTCATTGAGGCTTAATCTTTAAGTTAATATATGACTCCTATATAGAGGCAGCAAGTTTTTGATTGCGGAATAGAAAACACAGATCAATGGATGTTACCTAACCGATATACGGACGGGTATGTTGTGACAAAGATTGAAAGGTCTGGTGGAAGCAAAGTAAATTGGATAACAAGTAAAAATAAAATGATTGATATACTTAAAGGTTCTGAAAAAATTGATATTGTATCGAAATATTGGTACGAATTGCATTATGTTCGAATAATTTTGATGACGAACTATTCTGGATTTTTCCTTTCTTAGGTACGTTTTGTTTGCTTATATATAAAAGATTAAACTATTATTAAGATTAAACCTTTGGCAAATATTTGTGATACAAAAGGTAAAGGTAAAGGTCTTGCTTATTATAGTGTCACCCCTACTGAAAGGGTCAGCCATTTTGGCTTATGAGACACCTTTTGGTTGCATACCATGTACCTCCCAATTCCTACCACTATGCCAGGCGCCAGGCTTATATAATTCGGTAACCATTCATTTTAACTACCTCGCGGCTCACGAAGCGGCCATTACGGAACGAGTCCCACGATAAACAATCACCCTTCAATTAACGCTCCCCGTGGGGCTCGAACCTTCGACCTCCCGATCCGAAGGCGGACGCCTTAACCACTAGGCCAACGGTACCGGTTACATTTTAGAACAAACTTACTATTTCACTTAGTTAATCTGTTTTATAACTTGTTTATCTGTTTTATTACTAAAATTTCAATTATTTTCACGAATAAACATTCGTTTTACCTGTTTCCGTTGCGCCCAGTGCGCCAAAAAAATCTTGCGTAAAATACCTCTTGTTCCCTTTCGAATTTCGTTCCCGACATTAGAATATAGAATGGCTCATTGACACGTTATCTATTAGTTAAATAGAACTAGAAATGTGTAATCATGCCACGGGTGCCCCCGCATGCAGCCAAAATTTCAGATGTTATAATATTTAGTTCCAATTTTATTTTGCACAAATTATTTTTTTCATTTTAAGTTCAAAGCCCTTAAAACTTTTCAATGTTAACACAAACCATTTTCATACAATGTTCAAGGCACTGAAATTATTCAGTCTCAACCTTTTGAAAATAGCAAATTTCATATTTGTAGCCAAAATAATGGTTACATACATTTCCACAAAAGTACGAGTGCTGAAACTGAAAGTTCCAAATTTTTCCAGCATTCAAGAAAGATAAGTTTGTCCAAAATCATTGAACCACGGCCAAATTCAAACTTAAACTGCTTATTCCTAAGATGTATCTATAATATTTTCAAAGTGAAAGGGACATAACTCTGCCAAAAAATCATCGAACCATGACCAAATTCCGAATTGACCTGCCCATTCCTTTGTCATATCCATATGTCAAATTTGAGTTGAATATGTAACACTGTTGGGTAAATAATGAACAGAAACTGTAAATTTCATATTATTTTCATAGTGTTAGGGGCATTACTCTGCCAAAAATCATTGAACCATGACCAAATTCAAACTTGGCCTGGGCATTCCAAAAACATATCCATATGATAAATTTGAGTTGAATGTGTTGTACTGTTGGGGAGAGAATAAACAGAAACTGAAAATTTCATATTATTTTCAAAGTAAAAGGGGCATAACTCTGCCAAAAATCATCGAACCATGACCAAAATCAAACTTGACCTGTATTTTCTCATGACATATCCATATGTCAAGTTTGAGTTGAATGTGTTGTACCGTTAGGGAGATAATGAACGGAAACTGAAAATTTCATAATATTTTCAAAGTAAAAGGGGCATAACTCTGCCAAAAATCATTGAACCATGACCAAATTCGAACTTGACCTGTATATTCTCATGACATATCCATATGTCAAGTTTGAGTTGAATGTGTTGTACCGTTAGGGAGATAATGAACGGAAACTGAAAATTTCATATTATTTTCAAAGTGAAAGGGGCATAACTCTGCCAAAAATCATCGAACCATGACCAAATTCGAACTTGACTTGTATTTTCTCATGACATATCCACATGTCAAATTTTAGTTGAATGTGTGCAACCGTTACTAAGATAATGAACGAAAACTGATGATCTTAGTTTTTTGGTGGTCTATGACCTAGAGAGGCATTTGTTTACATTTTTAATTATTCTATTTTAAAGCATTTAAGACCTCTTCTTACTAGTGATTATGACGTTTTATAAAGGACCCTGAATTGTTGTTACTCAGACAAGTTGTGCTTTTTCTACGTGTTCTAAGGTATAAGAACACACACCATACGTGCAATACATGAACAGTTTCCGGCTAGTGTAATTTTCGGACAGACCAGTTTTTTATTATTTATTTGTGGATTCCATGTACCCTCACACATCTATACTGTCCAATAATGAACCCAGTGAAGATAACTTTCATTTTAACACTTATTTCATGTCGTTTTATGAAGGAGAAGGATTCTCATGATTTCCAAGTAGAACAGTATCCGGACAATTATATTTCGGACAGTATTAACGTTTTACCAGTCAATTATGGTCAACTAGTGTATTTTAACACCTTTATTAATTGTTCAGTGTCAACTAGAAAATATGTTTCTCGTACTATAGAGAGCAGAAACGATTTACTTCCTATATGTTTGTTGTTGTGTGGAGATATCCATCCGTGCCCCGGACCCTCAGCTGACACTTCTAGTTCCACCACAAGTGATTTTAAAGTTTTCAATAAACATGGTCTTCATTTTATTCATGTAAACACTCGAAGTCTTTTACCAAAACTACATGAAATTAATTCTGTAGCTCGTAGATCTAGAGCCGCATGTATTTGTGTTTCCGAAACATGGTTAGATGACTCAGTTCCAGATTCTGAAGTTAACATCGACAACTATTGTATTCAGCGCAGGGATCGAAACAGGCAAGGGGGTGGCGTTTGTATTTATATCAGGAAGGATTTATCCTACAACACACGTGATGATCTCAAGCATGAAGAATTAGAAGCTACATGGATTAATATACT